CGGCACTAAGATTACATTATTGGCCGACAGGCGACGATTCAACATGTGCAAAAGTTCAAAGTGGAGTGCCGTCGAAGTAGTCGATCATGTACAAATAAATGATGCGAAAGTTCTGGATCTTCCAACACGGTCAGTCATCTTACCCTTTTTTGCCCCAAAACAGGGACGGTCCTTTTCATGTCCTGAAAATGTACTAAAAAAATATTTTCTGGTCATGGGAAAAAAATTGTTTCATAAGTAAAAATTGGGAGAAATTAACATTTATGCCTTCGCACGTCCCTCGCCCGTTTCTTTTTCGAAGCAGTCATAAAACTGCCGCGAAACTTTTGTGTCGTCCAATCACCATTGTTTTCCTTTCCTCACAGTAAAAAAAAAGCCGCGACGCATTTCTGTTCTGACCAATCAGAGTCGTTTTCTCACTTTTCCCCTTACTTTTCGGAATGTCTCACCCTCTACGACCAAAAACTACCAGAATGCCGTGGAAAAAAGTTTCGGAAACCCCCCTCTACCGACCTCGAGTCCCTCGCCAATCTGAGTTTCGTAGAGAGGGGTTTCCGAAACTTTTCACCCAAAACACCAGCCTTTTGTGCTGCTTTTGCTGCTGCTCATGGTCTTCTCATGAATAGTCCAATTGACAACCGACCATGAACACCATCTTAACAGAGCAGTCGTTTGATGACTCTGAATCATATGAGTCAGATGTTCCACTCCTTTCTTTGCGCGAAAAGAAACGAAACAGAGCATCAAACTGCACAGCAGAATCAAAGCAGAAACCGAAAAAGGCACGCACCAAAAAGCATAAGGCATGCAATAAAACTTTATTGGGATTATCCAATCTATACATTGATAATGAAGATTCAGCCGTGGATGCTGTTATGGACTTATTTGGGCACAACAATCTTCAATGTAGTCGACATTTTGCCGGGAAAATTCTGCAATGTGTCCATCCGATTGCCTCCCCATGTCTGACATGTTCATTTTATACATGCGATGGGCCAAGAAAATCCGCAACAACTATCACTCTGACTGTATGGCTGTCTTAAAAACGATAACCAGCAGATATAGGGTTTTTTTTTCCTCTGAAGAAAGCGTCCTTGCAGAGTTTCGAAATTTGACCTTTGATCCTGGCCCGGGAAACTCTCACAGCTCAATAGCCTATCAGAACCAGGTGTCATACAGGGTTGTGAAACGGAAGTGTGGCGTCTCATCCTCCCCAAGTATTGAACACGAGCTGGCACATCAGATCAAGCTATTGGGCAACATTGTCCAAGATTCTTCTGCACTTGGAAAAGTTGGAATGCGTTCCAACCAAGGCCCATCTGTCTCCAATCGTAGCCATTGGCTTCCTGGGCAACCAAATGCTCTCGATGGGGAAGACAACTCCACGAGAAAGCAACTGGAAGAGACCCCTATGGATTTTCTCATCTCCAACCTTATGGAGTTCCACAAGGAGCCATCTTTTCGCAAGAGAATCGAATCTCAATTGGACAACATGGCCACTTGCTACCACCTCTGCCGCTTGACCCTTAAGGGCCTGCCTGGAAAGCAAGTTGTTAATTATTCCTTCAAGCTGACAGAATCTGCAAGGTCTCGGCAGGACTTTCTGGATATACTTGCTGGCCTTTGTCTTTTGGTGCCTACATTGGATAGTTGCAACAAAAGTTTTCGCAATAACTACTATGATCATGCTGATGGAATCAAGAAACTGCGGGACCTTGCCATCCAAAATGCGTTGAACCAAAGGCACAAGGAGAAAGATAACTGTGCCATTAGCACGGCAATTCTTTCCCTAAATAAGCTGTCATCATCCCGATGGACCCTCAACGGTCAAATAGGAAAAGACAGAGGTCGGCAATATGTTCTCCTTCGTGCTTTTGTTTTTCAATCTTGGCTTCAGAGTGCCACATTGGATCATCTCCGACTGGTGGTACTGGCTGGTATTCACGGTGGCCCACAGAATATTCCAAAAGAATTAACAAGGTCCAGGATTGCCGCTTCGGACCAAGTAGCAAAAACAATTGAAAGTCAAGGTGTTCTAGAGTCCATCGACACTGACTTTCTTGCCTTGAATGTTGAAAAGAGAAAGAAATTCACCATGTTTGAGTCCAATTCGATATACAGCCCACCAAAAGAAGTGTAAGTGAACATCACTAGATCCACTGTCTCCTTTCCGATTGACTTTCATCTCACTCACTATGTTGGCCATTTATTTCTCTGCCTTCAGAGTCCATGTTCCCCCTCTTAGTTTACTCCCCAATTCAACCCCTACTCTGGTCGAAACTTGTGACCATACTGGAACTAAGCTACTAAAACTTTATGACGTTGCCAGTAATGATGCTTTGTGGAAGGCTCTGGATCTTCGGATGGCAACCAACCAAGATGTGTCATCAATGTTCACATCTGTTTATCAGATGAACTTACCTGATGGCTCTGAAATCCTTGCCAATCTGGCAGCAATGGAATGCTACAGCACAGGCCGTCTTCACGAATTTCGGCATGGACGCTGGACGGGAGAACCAAATCAACTTCCTCCAGACCGTGCGGGAACCTTCCATTTCATTGGTGCCTCTGACCAACGATACATCCACCAAAACAATCACTTCAGTGTTGTTCGTCGTGATGATCCCATTTTCATACGTCACCGGCAACATGCAGCAGTTGGTGGATCGGGAAACGATCTTGAAGACCTTTGTCAAATGGCACGTGCTGTCGTGTACTATTGTGGAAAGAAGGGAATCAAACCTGATCTTAAACGCTCACATGTGGAGTCTACAGATTGCATTATTCCAGCTTCACACCAATACCGAATTGATGTGGGATGCATTGGGCAAGCCTATGATGGCAAAGACGCGCCAAAAACAGTTGTTGGAAAAGATTTTCTGGATGAAATTGAAAAAGACAAGAGGTTCAATGTGGATACTGTAAGGCACACTATGGGGCACACGGCACTACTCTCCTGGCTGTGCATGGTTGATCTTCAAGAGGAAGCAGGAGGTCCACCACTAGCTCCGGACAAAATCAGATATGAACAGTTTGCCAAGCCTCTCCGGGATTACCTGGGAATTGAAGGAAACACTTTCCGGGGCGAAAACATTACAGTGGTTGTTGGTGTTCTATCACCCAATCATGACGGCTGCATAAAGCATTTTGACCTTCAAAATGATTGGCGTCCTGGCTACGACCGAACTGGTGCCTTCAATGCTGTTGTTGTTGACAAGGGGAATACGATGGCACTCCATATACAGGTATGTTTATCCTTTGGTGTTAGTTCTGACTACTTCGCACCAGCCATGCTCAATTGTGCCTTTGTGCAATCGCTTCAGGTAATTGTAAATTTCCGCCGAAAAGTTGGTGACCACACTCAACAATACAGTAGAGGAGCTCGTTACTGTGGTGCCAACATCAATACTTACATTGGCACCTTGAACCAGAACTATGTGTCCATTTTTGAATCCACAACACGGAATCCACCCAGTGCCTTTGATCGCCAAAACTTCTATCTTGACGATCGTCTTAAATATGAGGATACTGTGATTCACTCAACAAAAGAGCTTACTATTACAAAACCAATGATCAAGCCCGTCATTGGTCCCTCTCGCATCTTTTCCCTCTCCATGTTCATTGAACCCATTTTCCTCCTTAAAGACACATTGGCATACGATCAGCTTTTGGAATTATGCTTTGCTGCCACCTTTTCCAACAACCCATACTGGTTCCATCACATACTAATGCAACTTGTCGACCTCCATAAGAGTAACAACGATTCATTCCAGTTCAGTGATCATCCATTCCAAGATTGGATGCTTGCCACAATAAAAACATTCTCTGTGGACTCGGAAGATCAAAGAGGTCAGTTCAAATGGCAGAATAGTGTGGATAAACGTTTCTCTCCCTGTGGTGGGAATCTTCCAGTTGCCTTCGGTTGCTATCCTTCGGTACCAAAGGAATTGAAAATGAAAGGAGCAGATAAACTGAATGAAATAGTCTCTGTACTTTTTGACTATTCTGACTGGATTGACGGTCTTGCCAATTGTGGTCATGGTTGCGATCCTATCCATGACATGCCGCTATTGGATGTAAAGGCTAAAATGCAGTCAGTTGTCGATGATATTGCAAACAAGTGGGGGGGTCGAGTTCTCAATTTGGCAAATTCAGGTTGGGTTTGTTTACTTCCATGATTACTGGAACAGGATTGGTCCAGAGTGGTCCACACCTGAGACAACTTGCATTCCCTGTAAAAGGTTGTGCTTCCTATAATCATCTATCCCAAACAAATGGAGATTCACCTTCTGAGACTGTTCTAGGAATTGATGAAAAAGATCATGATCGTTGTATGCAGATGATTGCATCAAGCTTTGGTCGTCGCTATTACCGTGATGAAACAGAAACTCTGTTGGTAGGTTTCATGAGTTGATGATTGATTTGAAATGGCTTGTTGAACTTACTCCTATGGCATTTTGTAACACAAGTGTGAATCAATGCATTCACGGCATCTTCACGTCAGTGACTGGTTCATAAAAGGTGGGACACTCTATGATATAACAGAGGGTGGCATTGTTTTATTCAAAAGGTATGGGATGCATTCATATTGGCAGCCTCTTGCTGTTATGGAACACAAGAGCAAACGATTTCTTTTCCGAGGACAGCCTGTTGTTTTCATCAGGCATTGCGAGATTGTCCGGCAAATGCTTGGGGACATATCTAACACTGTATCAGAGGGGAATTACAAAGTACGAATGCCCTTTGGTTGGGAGGCTTCACATAAGCTACCGGCCCACGCCCATGAAGATGCCTACTTCTACCGAGTTGGAGACAAAGAATACAAATCGGGGACTGAGTTTAAGACTATGGATGATACCAATGATCCCACCAACAAGGTAGCTGCTGGCAAAAGTATTGTCCAACTGGGGCCGTCCTACGATAAATTATTTGACTACTTCCGTGACCTTGGGTTTGATTTTGGGATGATGACATCCCGTAGGGGTAGTTTTACCTCTCCGAGGGCAACCATCTTTGCCAGACATAGAGACAAAGACTTCTTCTCTACTGGAGTTGCTTTCTTGCCCATCGCTGAAACATTCTGGACTGTGATTGCAGGGGTAGCTGATAGCAATGATCAGTCCAGGGAATTCTATGAGGATTGGTTACCTAGCATGATGAATGAAGAAAGGAAATCTATCAATCTGTTTTTGAATGGGTTTGGAGAAGTGAAGTCAATATACAAGTGTTCTCCTGGATCAGTACTTGCTTTCCGTGCAGACCAGTTGGAGCACGGAACCATCATCCCCGCTGGGTTTTCAAGGCGACAATTGTGTATCTTCACCAAACTTGTACCTGCCTTCTACCCATAATCCAGTTATGTAAGTCATGCATTAGTGTCTCATCGAATTTGAAGCAACAAATTCACCTCGCTCGTCCATTTTGTAGCCGCCTCCTGCAAATAGAGTATATGAACCATTATCATTTGGAAGGGCAATACAAAACCGCTGGAACCTAAGCCCAGTATCCAGATGCAGGGTCCGCCTGCATCTGACTCTTTTTGGTTCCCTTTCCACATCAATTTCCATATCAAAATACCAAAGACTGCCCTGGTAGTGTGGGTTGCTTTTGTCCATGGACACAAAGGTGACTGACCACTCTTGAAGCCTGACCGTCACAAATCCAAACAGAGTCCTCTCTTTGGGAGATGTATAGTAAGAAAGGAGTGACAGACCCTGTCTTTCCTTCATCCTTTCGTCAAAGACATCCTTTGTGCTATATCGCCGGAATTGTCGGTATCTGCCCAATACACTTGCGAGTGGCTCTTCCACCACTACCGTCGTGTGATTCCTTTCACTGTCAAACTCTGGCCGAAGCATCCCTTCTTCTTTTCCGTAAACGATGTCCATGTCTTCCTCATCCAAAGGGAAGAAGCGTTGTACGAAAGCCATTGCATGTTCCTTGTAGTATTTTGTAATCAGCGATTTCCCCCATCGTTTGCGGGAACCCTTGGGCAGCATTCGACGTAAGTCTTTTACTATCCCCTCACCCATATCATCACCCTCGTGGATGGACTTAAGCCATGGAATCTCTTCCAGGTGTGTGGTTGACCGTAGAATACCAAATAGGCAGGCTTTCAGCCGAAAGTCTTTGAGTGGGGTATCGGAGACATGATGGAAAATATCCAGGAAAGTCGACATCAAGTGAATTGCATGAGCCTCAGAACGGTTTTTTGCAACTTGACCAGTTAAGCTTGTATCCATGAGTACGGAAAAGTAACCACTCAGTGCAGGAAAGAGATTGTACAACTTTTCCCCTGGCAGTATTGCCCTCCTTGAAAAGAAGGGTCTGATGAATATAAGGTGGTTGCTTCCCAAGTTTTCCATAACATCAAATTCAATATCATCTTGAGAAAGTAAGTTCGCCAATGCATGCTCGACTGAAATTGCCACAATTTTCAGTGCCACTCTACTGAGGCTGCCAATAGCCTTTTGGTAATCTTTCCTTCTTTCCGTCTGACCAACAGTTGTTTGCTCACGAATCTCCACCTTTCTTACAAGACTGGTGTGGAGGTAATGTTTGAAGTTGTCAATAGACCAATCTTCTATTGGTTTGCCAATCTCGGCTGGGTGACCAGGTGTTTTTGGTTGGAATTCCTTTTCGGAAAGGAATGAAAACAACCATGGGGACAGAACATTGAATGCTCGATATTCTTCAGCAACCCAACCGGGAAAGTTTTCTGTGGCAGCAGTCCTAGCCTTATATTCTGACAGGTTCACACTCTGAGCCTTCTCCAGTTTCTTGTTGATTGCTTTTAGTGTATTCATCTTTCCCTTTGGTATTGAGCTTGACCATGGTAAGACTACATCACGAATTGCTTTACCAGTATTGAGCCCATTGTGCATGATGGTCTCCACTGCACGTTTCAGCTCAAAGATATCCCAGATTGGATTGTGATTACAACATGTATGGTAGTACTCACTATCAGATTCAAGATCTGCACAAACCTCCTGAATGATATCTTGGTGGCTATCCTGTGTGGAATCTTCCAAGACCTTTTTGTAAGTATCCCATAATCTTTTCTTCCTCAGTCCCCTTGAAAAACGACGTGTTTGTTCATCATTCATACAAAGGACATTAACTAAGTATTCTTTAGCTTCCTTCTCAGTCCAGAACATATTCTGAAACTGTTGGATTGCATAGTGCCAACCTTTTATTAGCATGGTGCAATCTAAGAAGCCAGGTCCATATATCAGGTGATATCCCGGTATGTCCTCGTGGCTTCCGCATGTCTTAGTTGGGATTACAAAACACGGCTTCGTGTATTTACCTTGGTTTACCAGCTTCACTGTATCAAAAGCAAGGCAGTGATTGCATTCACCAACATTCATTCTCTCAGAGAAATCTTGTCTATTCAAGTACTCAGCGATCTTTCTCCTGCACATACATTTATCGCTTGTCTCAAATTGCTTTCCAGCGAGTATCTTATGATGGCAGTTTAGACTAAAGTATACATGGTTCTTCGAGTTGTGAGCTCTCAAACCAAAATTGGATCTTCGTTCAGGGTTGTCCATGATGCATGCGAAAGGAAGTATGAAGAAGTTAACATCACCACTGGATTTGTTGTGTCGATGGGACGGGAATGTGAGGCTTGCAGTGGGTTCAGACTTTCTTGGTTCACAGCTTTGTTTCAAATCCGAAAGCAACTGTTTGAAAACTACACTGTGATTGGTCTTGTCTTTGCCCACAGCATAGACGACTGTCTTGACCATGTACATCTGATTGTCAGTGCAGTCAAAGAACATGAATGTCAATGTCATTACCCACACCGAGCCACGGTTGGTCTTGGAACGATTTGGTTCAAAACCGTCGGACCAGAAGAAGCAAATGACTATCACATTGCGCCGGTTGTGGTGATTCACACTCCTTTCAACATGTGACTGAAAAGTGAGGAAGCGATCACTTTGGAGGATTGCTCTGTGACGAGGTCTAACTGCTTCATAATCTCTTTGCGTAGAGGTCATCGTGCATTGGCAAATGAGGTTCACAAGGCTGCAATATGCATGATCCTCGGGGAGCATGTCCACTGTTGGTGTGGGTAGCAACGACCGCCATGAAAGTCTGTTCCGTGAAAGGATAGTTGAGCTGATCGCCTGGTATGTGGATGGGACGACAAGATAAAGGGAACCGGGATGATAAAAATGGGGGTAAGTGACAGAGCTGATTGCGGTAAAAGACAGGAGTCGGGCTGAATCGAGACCAATTGCTAAACTGGCAGTGTTCACGAACAATCTAGCCAGATGAATTGGCATTTTTCGTTCCACGTCAGACTTCAAAATGTCTCCACTACCCGAGCAACAAACACAAATCATAAAAAGTATGGTTGCTAGATAGTCCATTTCTTGGGCAACAAGCAGGCTATGGAATCGGTTCATGGTCATATTTTCAGGAATTCCTAAAAGAAGAATTGTAAGGCCTGCAGAAGAGTCATCGGCAAATGATGTTGAGAAGTTGTCATTGTGACTAACATCAATTGGTGTAAACACTTCCTCTTCTTCCCTTTTTTGGAGATGAATGACAGCTTTGGTATGATGAGCGGCTAGGTGGTGCCTCCTGGCTTTGCGACCTTTCTGATCGTGTTCAAAATTAACACGTCTCCTGGACCTTGTAGTGCTTCCTCTTGCACAGACATGGCAGTGGGATACATGGTAGCCACATGTGGTGGCATCCAAAGATGTGGGAGGTTGTTAAGTAGGGATGCAAGAGGGCTGTTGTTTCAATTTAAAAAATTAAACATGGTCCAACAATTTCTCTCAGGGTCATTATTTCTGGCATCATATATATATGCAGTATATATCACACTGTATTTCATCGGGAATGAATCATCATCGCAGCACCCCTGATACAATTTTAAAATAAAAAAGATTACTTAAAATATAAAATTACATTGGAAGAAGTCAAAAGACTAAGACTTGAACTTGCGTTGAATTTCCATTTCGGATAGACCTTCGTTTTCGTCATTGAC